CATCGAGTTCATTTAACGCGAGGTTCTGGAACCATGTTGTTTCGACGGGACAGAAAGGAGAGGGGTGTTAGGTGAGTTAGTTTTAAGAGGTACCCAAAAATGTGGTTACTGTCGTGCAGACACCTGTTACATGCGGTACATATGTTAGAAATGTCGGTGTCGAGTCTCGATTAGAATGAGTTTACCTTGCTACAATATCCAGATCTAAGCTATGCCAGTATTACGCGGAATTTTTGAGGCAGCTATAGCTTTTCGACAGTTATGGGGGACCCTCAGAACGCCTTACACACGGTAGAGAGTTCATGACGGTGGTAACTGACTCCTGCTGGTGAATGGCGTTAAGTGCCGGTCCTCTTCAGCGATTCTTCTACATGTTGCTAGATGCAGTCCATTAAGTCAATTGCTCCCTTTATTATGTGGCTGGGTGGTGGTTCAGCATCTAATGAATTTTTGTTGAGGTGCTCCCTTTGCTTGCACAGCAAAGCTCCTTACTCGTAGCATATATGAGGTGTCTTTGTACCCGTCTTGCTGTATAGTATGTATAATATTAAAGGCGAGAGGATAGAGGAATACATTAATTCCATTGGAAAGGAAGTAAATTAAAGATAATTCCTTTTCGTGATTGGCAGTATCTCAGTGTGTAGAACTCCTCCTATAAAATCTGTCGCTTTTAAGCTTTCTCCGTTTGGATGTTCGAATCACAAATTTTTTTCTATGTTTGTCGAGCTGCCAGGCATTGAGCAGTACAAGTTTCAAGCTCTGGTGATCAGAATTTTACTCGGTCCGTTCTTGCTCAAATTCAGCTGGCTCTATTTATCGTCAAATCATTTCCTGAGCACTCGTATCCATCGTTAAAACATTATGCACTTGGAAAAATCTAACTTAAGCTGTGAAAGCAATAACACTTAGTCCGCCATGTTCTATTGAAATCACACCATCTACATAAGTAAATAGTGGTAAGTGAAATGAAGAGCACGCCTACTTGCGTCTACTCACATTATCGTTATTATTCAACATTGATGTTGGCTTTGCGTACATATATACGAGTAGACTAACATACATACATATATCCACGAGTATATAATGTGATATCAGTGCGTTATTACTCCAAAGGACAATTGAGTTCCGTTGCGTCTACGCGAGCAGCAGACAATCAAATCCGCGCACAGTTGCTATTGAACAGTCGACGAAGTGGATAAAAAAAAGTAACAGAGCTGCTTAAGCAAATCAAGCCAACAAAGTGGATTTAACAAACAAACCTTGCCGTAAAAGAGCAGAAGGGAACTTTGGAAAGGAAACGGCTGCAATGCCTGCAATGTTGCAACACGGACGTACACCTTACCGCGTTAATGCGCAAATGGAGGCCACTTGAAGCTTCCGATTGGGGGGAAACTTCTACAACTGAGCAGTGCCGACACTTCCTTACGTAAATTACAATTTCTTTTTCTCATGCAAACGCCCTTCCCCATCCAAATTGTCTTTCTTTTCTTTTCGTTCATTTCATTTAAGTTTGGTTTTTCATTCTTTTTTTTTTTTGTTTGCGCATGAAGCCACTGGATTTTAATTTAAGTCGACTTCAATTGTTATTTACATTTTCATTAGCATACACAATAAAAACGCGAATTCCGAATGACTGAGAACTGCATGAGAGAAAGCCAACTCAACCGGCGTGGAAAGGGTGTGGGCTGCGAGACCCAAGCAGTGTATAGGTGAAGGTAGTTATTTCCAGAGCTCCTCATCAGCGAGCCACAGGGTGTTAGTGACGACTTGGGCGCGCACAAATGAAATTGAAATTATTACAACAACAACTATATAAAACAAAAAATACGCCAACTTGAGCCGACTCCCTCAGCAGTCTCGTTAGCTGATGATTGCTTGCTTGCAACGGAAACGGATGTCAGCGTACAAACGGAAGCGGATGGGCGCGAATGTAGGCGCTGTGTAGCGGGGGGCTTAGGCGAGCGCGTCATTAATGAATATTTCATTTACTCCAAAGGCAATAGACTATTGCTGTTGTTGTTGTTAATTTTTTTCTTTTCTCTACTGTAGTCACACACTGCCGCTTACCGCCCGCGCCAGCGCGCGAATTTCAACATTTTTATTTCGCTTTTATTTTAAGCTCTTGCGGATTTTGGACAAAGCAGATTTTCGCTGCGCCAATTCACTTGTCGCTGCGTTGCCTCACCATTTTCGTAATTTACTTTAATGGCGAACAATGAGAACTTCTTACGAAACGCCACATCCTCTCTCTCCCCCGCTTTCTCTCTCTTTATCTGCATACATACCTATCGTTTCCATCGTCCATTTGCCGCTTTGCCAGGCCAGACGCCATCTTATAAGCTCGGCGCGCACAACTCCGCTTGCAGCAACAATAACAGTTAGGGCTAGTGAATTTATTTGATTGTCGTTGGCGGTTAGCAGCGACTTAAAAATGTAAATTATTGTAAATGTGATCCGAATGCGCGGTTAGATTGGCGCTTAAGCGTTGGATTTGCATTATTCCAGCAACGCAAGTGGCGCGTAGTCCTTATCCACACCACGCGAAAGTCGTGGAGACAAGGAATAACAGGGTTGCACACACACACACAAACGCTCAAACATACACACACACACACAGAATGGTACTTACTAAATTAGACGACACAGGGCGGCACAACAATCTCGCCTTTCATAGCCGTGTACTTGCGGCTCTTTTCGGCTTGTGCCCGTGAAGTGGGCAAATATTTTATGGGAAATAAAGCCGTGGAAGTGTTGAAAGTGTCCGAAAGTCTCCAACCAACTAATCGCGCTGGATTTGGTTAAAAATTACTTTGCATTAATTTTCGGTTTGAAATGGAGAAAGGAGTGAGTCAATGCCTGTTTTGCGGTCTGTCTCATCATTTTATTTCATTTCAGTTCTTTTGTTTTTTTTTTCTCTTCTATCGGCTGCCGCACTGCAATATTTTGGTCGCTGTGGTCACAACGCTAATGCGATATATTTGCATATTTTGATTGCGTTGTCGCGCATATTCGTTGATACATATATATATAAACGTACATATTTATGTATGTATAAAGTCAGTTTATTTTTCGTCTATTATTATTGTTATTGTTGTTTTGTGGGCATTGGCCGTTGACATGCCATCGACATAACCCACTGTCTGGCTGTCTGTGGAGCCGTTACTACTAAATACTCGTATATATATAATAAATTGCCATTTGTAAATTGAAATAATGTAAATTTACAAGCTTAAAACAAATCCCACGCTGGCGCACAAATTTTACAAATTCAATTAAATGACACAGATTGTTGGAGTTCTCATCATTATTTGTAGAGTTTTGGTAAGCTCACACTTTTTTTCCAACAGAAGTATGATAACGGTTTGTGGCGATAATTTGAAAATTGTCATTTTATGGATATTCTTGCCATTTTCTCTAAAAATTTTTAGTTTCATTAATTAAATATAATTTATCAAAATCCATTAGTTTGAAAATAAACTTTATCAGATGGAAAATTTATTAAAAATATACAAATATACATATATATTAGGTGTAGCAAAAAGTTCGTTCGGTTTTTATCTAAGAGTTGGCGTTATTGTCCATAGTAGTAGTGTTACGTGTCGCATCACGTCATACTCTAAGGCGCAGAAAACGTGTTTATTTGCCCTAAAAGTTTGTCTTTGACAGTTTTCCGATTGATTGACTCAGCACGTTGTGAGCGGTGCCCAGAGATCGACACCAGCGATCGAGTCGAAAAAGCAGCCAAAGTGCTCGCACACTCGTTTATTGTTCATTGCTCCAAAATTTTCGAAAGAGCTTTTCGAGCATTTTGGCCTTGTCTTTTTTGAAAATCAATAGATTGCGCTGTCAAGATATGATCAATGATTGTTGAAATTGGATGGTATTGATCGGGATAACATTCACTTTTACCAAGCATCGAAATTAACGAAGTTCGTGTTATCTTTCGAAGAGATGATCGCAATTGACCAACGACATCTAGTTATTTAACACCTTACGGCCTTTTGCTATGGACTCCTGCAAAAGGTGAGGTCTACGCCAACAGGCCAACCTCGTTTCAGAACCTCAAAGATGATATTCGTTAGGCTATTGAGGGCGGACGGGCGCCACTTTGCGATTTGGTGATGAAAAATTTAATAAAAACCATACGGTCACGTAAGCGTCACTATTGCTGCAATTTGGCTGCAATTGTTTTCCGTCATTAGTAAAGTTATTTATTCGAAATTCTCAAAAAACTGGAAATTTCTAGCTCATACAACATTGCAGCTATGCTACCTGGATCCATTTACTTAAAAAACACAACTTTTGAAGTTCAATTCAAGAATCATTCAACTTGATTCAAGATGATTTGATTGTAAAACTTTTTGAAGACGATATCGGGTTACTGTTCGCTCTAGCTCCTATGGCAGAACATGTTCGTTTTTCGGCACTTTCCAACGCATTTTTTAATGTTTCGACTGCTGTGACGGCAGTTTCGTGACGGTTGTTGCCCTTAATTTTATCTGGTGTTCTTGGCTTGATGATAGAATAAACTTGACGTAGTTCCAAAACAAAAGAATTCCGCGTGTGTCAAATCTGGTGAAAGCGGAGGCCTGACAAAAGCGTCCTTTTTATATAAGGCGTCCAGGAACCAATGACTTAAAAACCACTGTAGAATGAACTGTGTGGGGAAGTGCGCTGTCTTTTTGAAACCATAAGTGTTTCTCACCATTTTCAAACAATTTTAAAAAACCCGCCGAGGGGGGCTGTCCATAAACTATGTGGGCATAATTTTGAGTATTTTACAATCCACCCTTCCTAATAAATAACAATAGCAACGTGTCATTATTTTTTCATAACTTTGATTTAACTAATATTTTATTAAAACTTTTACTACTCTAACCATTGTGAAAATGAATAAAATAAAAATAAGAAATTAATTAATGGATACTATAGAAGAAAAGTGTAATTAATTTTGATATATAATTTTAATCGAAATTTTTAGCCAAAGTGAAGCATTCCAGTTATAAAAAAGATTTCTGAACACACTGTATCGGACTCAAAGATAGAGAGGTTTCATTTTGCCAGTAGGGTGTGAGACAGAAATCACGATGTGAAATGTATTTTTCCATAACTACATGATATACTGTGCCGTTCTGTGGATGAATAATTAATTTATTATATTTATTTTGATTTCTTTTTTCTCTTTTTCTAAAATTCTTACCTCATATAAAATATTGAAATCATTGTCTAAATTTGGATTCAAGATTTTGAAATCTTCACAAGGCATACGCTGCTGGGGTATGTATTTTTTGAACACATCGCTAACACTCCGTTTGAGATTTTTTGTATAAGTGTCGATTTTTGGATATTCCATGAGCTTACGTTTAACACATGTCTTCAATGTTTCATCCAGTCGCTCCTCAGGTGCGCAGCAAAGTTGAATGCATTGCTTCAATTTGCAGGCGCATCCCCTGGCATGCGACGGCGCAGGAATCCTCGTACCATCACCAAGCTCCTCATATGTGTATGTGGCTGTCATATTTGCTGGAATCCGTACGCCATCATATTCGTAAGAGCCATCGATATGTGGTTGAATGTCAATTAGGCTAACGGTGTCTTGGAATGCACAATTCGGTATATCCGACGCCAATAGCGGGTGGATTAGTTGACTCAAGAGGATGGTGAATAATATCTTGTTGACCAATATATAAAACATTTTTACTGTTTAAGTATTTTTTTTCATATAGAGCTAGTATGCCCCAACGTGTGTATAAATATATAAATAATATATATAATATATATAATATGTATCTATATATAATATATACAAGTATTTACAAAATCCACTTTTTACACTTTTCAAATGCAATCCAACTAAAATTCTTTTAACACTTAATTCATAACGAACTTTTCTCCATCAAAGCTTTCTTGAAACTGTTCAAGCAGCTCGAACAGTCCACGGTATTTATAAGTAAACCAGCGGATTTCGTTATCAATCTACATAATTCTACAAAATTAAACCGCATGAAATTCTGTGTAAAATAATCGTACATATGATTCATCTCATATAAATTTATAATTTCTGTACCACAATCCCTTTATCGAAAATAAATGAAAAGAGAAATGGTATTTAATATATAAAAAAGTGAAATTAAATAAATTACTTAATATAAAAAGGGAAAGTGTGAAAGAGTTACTCAAAACCAAGGCCGCAACGTAAAGATAAATACCAAGTTAGTCGAAAAATTATTACCGTTTCAGTTGAAACATTGGGAAATATTCACGTTGAGGGGCAAACCTAGTGTGAAATTTAAAAAAAAAATCGATTTTTTATACTTCGGTAGATTACACTTTTGAAAATAACATATTAAAATTTCAAATCGATATCTCAAATGGTTTTTAGTTATAACAATTTAAAAGGCAGCCGCTCGTGAGCTAGAGAGTCTCATTAGCTACGAGTGAAAACGATCATATTATCTTTAAACGCGTTTCTCTCGAAACAGCATTTTCTCAATTTGCTACAGTGATTACTCAAAAACAAATGATCCGATCAATATCGAATTTTTTTTTAAATGTTTTATATATAGTTCTCCGTACAATGACCTACCGATTTTTGATCTGATCAAAAAATCGAATTTTGGCAGGCCAAAAACGACCGAAATTTTGGGTAAATTTCGACTATTTTCTTTAGACGCAGCCATATTGTCAATTTTTGATTTTTTTATCGTAGGTCATTGTACAGACAATATTATCTAGTAGAGAATTTTTTTTTAGATTTCATCCACGGAGAAGGACGGAATCCCTGCAGCAGCGAAGGGCCTTTTTTACACACCGTTGGAGATTGTCTATAACTTAAAAAATAATTAGTTTTTTACTTCAAAAACTTCACTGTGTATTCTTGAAACATGTATAAATATATTCTTCAAATTTTGAAATAATTGATTAATTATTTTATTAATAAAATTTCCCAAAAATTACCTATTTTTCCGGCCGTTTCCCCGTAAAGCATTGTATAAAATAAAACAGATTAAACCAAAATATATTAATTAAATTAAATTAAAAAAATTCAATTTAAATAAATAAAAGATATATAAAAGTATTTAATATTATCTAAAATGAAATAAAATAACATAAAACAATAAAATATAACAAAATGAAATCAAATCAAACCAAATCAAATCAAATTACATTAATTTAAAAAAAATTACAATTATTTTTAATAAAATAAATTAATGTAAATAAAATAAAATAAAAGAAAAAAAATAAAAGAAAAATAAAATGAAATAAATGAAAATAAAATAAAATAAAATAAATAATAAAATAAAATTAAATTAAATTAAATGAAATAAAAGAAAAGAAAATTAAAAAAAAAATTAATTAAATTAAGTTAAATAAAGTTAACTAAAATCGTAATATTATGCAATCATTTTTTTCTAGAACGAGGGACGACATCACCTCGCCAGCGGATCTGCTGTCTCTCGATGCCTTGTGATTCCATCAATGATTCCATATGGCTCGTACAGCTCATCGTCCCGTCGACTTCGAGATTAAATTACGTTATCTACGACTACAAAGTTATTACTGCCAACAGTGACCCGGGAGCCAAGTCGCAAGGGCGATGACTATTTTTTTGATGACATGAGATATTTCGTCTTGCTTTTTTATCCATTTTGGAGAAAGCAGAACTCACGACGAGGTTGTTAAGCCCAATAATGTTAATGTTATCGTATCATTTTCCCCAACAAAAAAAAAATAAGATATCTCGTTGTCCGAAACCTGGTTTGTTAACGAACGGCTCAGAGAACTCCTTCATGATTTCAATGGAGCTTTAGGTGTTGCTGGGCGTCGGTTTGAGCAGCCATATAAGTTTTGCGGAGATTCCCAATTCAGAAATAGAGCAGCTACTTTTCGTGCTGCCGAATGCTGCTTTAAAGAGAAAAACAATAAGTGACTTGTTATTTTGAAGCAGGTGCTTGCTGTTCAAACTTCCACATAGTCGTGCAAAACAACAAAAAAAATTAGTCAGAACGTCATCGATAAATTTTGGGTATCCTTAACTCTATCATCTGCCTGGGTCCTACAAGAGTTTACTTCCCGTAAACTTTCGAGCATAACCCTTGTCGGTCAGCTCCTGAAGCTCTTTATGATAACTCATCCAGGGCTCTTCTTTTTTTGTTTAGAAATTCTGCTTTCAAATTTCGGTATCCCATCCCACAAGTGCTTGATCGCTACGTTTGCTTTCTGTCCACTGCGGCACGCAATCCTAATCGCTGATTTTGCAATCTTTCCAAATAGCTTCGCTATTAGTTGTACGTAGTGAGCTTGAAATACCGTCCTCCAGTATACCTGATGAGTTCTCTCAGAGATCAGTTTCTAACCGCTAAAGCGATCACCGGCTGAGCACCTCGTACTACGCATACAGCTTTTGAAATTTCCTGCCGAGAGGAACGCAATCTCGGCCATTGAGGTCGCCATAAATCGGTGCAGTTTTCAAATATTCAATAAATTGATTCAATCACCTGTCTTAGCCCATTGAGAACTCCTTGCGGATTGGGAGACTCAGAGCGAACAAATCAATTGAAAGAATGCAATCTTAATTTCAAGGCAAGTCTTTCAAAAACCAAGTAGTACTAGAGTTCGTAAGATCTCAAAACTTATCATTCCTACCAAAATAATTTCTCTTCCACTTGCTGCACGCAAATTCCACAAATTAATTTCACATATCAAACACATTACCAATAAAAGGATTTCGTTCTGACTGTTGTACGCCTCCAGCATCTATTAATTACAACTCGTGACCTCCGGCGGCGGCTCAAAGTCTGCGTCATAAAGTAACTTATGGTGCGCATACATACATACATATACTTGTAGAGGTACGCATATGAATATATGGTTGTCTACAACAAAAAATATACGCGCTAAGCATAATCAAAATGAACAAGCAATAATGCTTGCTTACAATAATTTATCCATATCCTTTTCACAACGGAAAGGAGAAAAACTGAAGCCGACACACACACACTTAACAACACAAAAAGGATATTTTACATACTCATTTGTCCTTTTGACGTTTGGCTTTGAATTGTATTTTGGTGGATTATGTGGGTGTCTGCTTACATATACATATGTGTGTGTGTTTGTGTGTGTGTGACTTCAAATGCAAATCCTCCTCAAGGTGTATGTTTACATGCCAGACTCCGACATAATTTTCTGTTGTTGTTTTTGTTGTATTAGCATGATGATGATGGTTGTGTTGTAGTTATTGTTTTTGTTCTTGTTGTTGATATTGCCATTGTTATTTTTGCTGTCGTAGTACAGCCTAAAGGGATATAGCGACGGCGGTTTATGTTATCTGCTCGTACTATATCCATATATACACACACACACACATGCATACACAACCATGCACATACCTACACACATACATACATATGTATGTGTCTATAATTGTTATTTGTTGTTTGAAGGCAACAAATTCACGCTCCCAACTTGTCATGCATCCTATCGGTACTAAAACAAGATCTACAATAACAACAACAACAACAACAGCGCAGCTTTGTACTCTTTCAATGATGATTTTACTTGCTCGCCACTGCTCTAATGCATTTTTAGTGCCCAAAGTTGTTTACCACTTCGTGATGGTTCGACTTCCTGTCGGATAAGCCAGAATTTAATTTGACTGATTACCCAAAGTAACTACACAATGCGCATACACACACACAAACACATACACATGCCGCATATCACCGTGAGTTAGCGTTGAGGTTTTGCAAGAGCTACGACTGTCACCCATAGTTATTCCCCCACTTTTCTTTTACATGCATTTTTTATATATACATACATATGTATGTATTCGCATATACATACTCGTATGTATGTACGCCCCTTCCTTTCATTCCCAGTCACTTTGGCGCACACATCCATCATAAATTCATTATTCGTGTTCACATCGCTCAAAAACAGGACGAAATTATGCGTATCCATAGTCGCCGGATGATGATTTTTTATTCTAAATTCCCTACAATAGCTTTTGTGCTGTCGATACAGATACTCGTACATGCATACAAACACAAAGCATCGGTAAATAAAAGGTCGTGTGCTTGTCTGACTTGTGGTTTTGCGTCGAACATAATTATGATTTCGATTTACATGCGTTCGGCTGAAAACATATGTATGCACATACGAGTACATAATGCTAATGTGTGAGAGTGTGGGAATATTTGGGAAAGTCAAAATAATTATTTTGGCAGTCAAAAGGGTAGTCACTTAGATCAATGTTATATTAAAGAATATCTGATAATAAGAGAGATAAATAAATTATTTTTCTCTTAAATTTGAATTCATTCACAAGAAACTGAAAATAGTCTGTGGCGATATTTCGTTATTTTATATGTACATATATATTTTTTTATTTTACTATTGAGTTTTGTCCAATTACCGGAGAGAGGAATAGTCCGAATTTTTGAATAGGCCAGTCCCGGGCCATTTTCCGGTGGGTAGTATAATCTTTTTTTCAATCTAGGCAAGAAACCCCCTATGTACGAACTTCGGTTAAATCGAAACATAAATTCCGTTTTTTTTTTTTTTTTTGAATAGTTCAGTCCTCTATCTATCATGTAAGTAATCTGAGGGAAATTCAAGTCCATCGGTGGGTAAATTTTGGAGAACACTCGTTCTCTAGGCACATAAGAGCTTTTTTCGAATAGATCAGTCCCC